CTGAGGATCCCCGGTGGTGCTTACACTTCAGCATCCCGCGCTTGTACAGGCATATGCGGATAGTGAGATTGCAGCTCGGATACGGAGGGAGATGGAGGAAGTGAAGAGGGAGGCTAAGGCATCTGGGAATGGGAATGGGGGTGTTGTGAGGAATGGGGATGGACATGTTTCGGGGGAGTTGCCGGACGTTGCATTGGAGACGTCGCTTTTGAGGGGGAGGAAGAGGGCGAGTTGGGGGACGCAGTTTAGGATTTTGAGCGGACAGGCATTCAAGAACCTTTATAGGGATCTGGCGCTTTTGGCTGTTCATTACCTTTCGGCTGTTGGGTTGGCTGGTAGGTTTCGTGCCCCTTTCCTCTGAATATCACGCACTTATGGGGTTTTGGACAGTTATTTGTGGATTGTTCTTCCATGATGTCATGTATGTCCTTAAACCTTTCCATTGAATTTGCGCTCATTGTTTTGTAGGAATGATATTGCGGGATTCCAGAATCAACTTGGTTCCTCTTTTGCTCTTATTGTTCGCTGGGCTGATGTTCTGTTGCAGGTATCTTCTTCTTCACGCTAGCCCTCTTTGGTTTCTCTTGTCTTTTGAGTTTGGGCCTATTTGCGAATGAGCAGATTCTGTTTATGCAGGAGAGGTAAGTGCTTTTCTGATTGGCATGATGAATGTCAAACAAGGTTCGTAGGGCGAATGGGTATTATTCGTCCTTTACCTACTTTGCATCCAAAGTTCGTACCTCTTTTGCTTCTAACATGATCGAATGTTGACGTTGGAGTACTTAGGTTCTCTTTGACATCCTGCCTCTCCGACTAGTCCCTCCCCTGATGTTTGGTGGAATCGTGGCAAGTTTAGTTGGGACTCTTGTCATGTTGTTCAAGTACGTCTTTCTCTCCTGGACTTACGCTGCTTGGCTAACGAACGGCGCAGTCTGTTGTTCACGGGCTTGCTCATCAATCGGGAAACTGTTGCGCCTGCGTTACAGTGGCTCCATATGGTGTCTTTCTTCCATGCTGCGTTTGAAGCTCTTGCTGTGAATGAGCTGCGATACCTTCAGCTGAAGGAGATAAAGGTGTGGTTTTTGTCTGTCCCGGTGTCATTGTGCTCACCTCTAGATTGCAGTACGGAGTTGAACTGGACCTCCCAGCGGCTACCATCCTCTCCATCTNTGGTCTTCGAGCCCAGGTTCATCCGTTTTGCCCTCT